TCTACTCTCTCTCATTGATCTCTCGAGTAAAACTTTCTCTCTCTAAATCTTTTGTTTTTTTAAAAAAATTAAATAAATATTATAAATATTTAGGTTAACTTTGTTATTTGTTAGTTGATTAATTATTTAAATTTTGTTAATTTTGTTGTTATATTAATTTTTAATTATGTTAAGTTCTATGTTGATTATTAATGTAAATTTCTTAATTATTTATTTAATTTTTTTAACTATTAAATTAATTTTGTTGAGTCTTACTATTTAGTTATGGTAATGTAAACCTTAAAAAATTTAGAGAGAGGTTAATTTTTAGGTTAACTTTTATGTTAATGTAAACCTTAAAAAAAATTTAATTATGTTAATTTTTTAGGTTTCATTTCATTAATGTATTTTTTAAAAAATTTAGTTAAGGTTGATTTATTATTAATTTATTAATTTTTAGGTTAAAATTTAATTATTTAATCTTTAATCGTTATTTTAAATTTTTTAATTAATTAATTAATTATTTGTGTTAATTATTAGGTGAATTTTGTTAGTTGTTTGTTTTAACTTAATTTTTAAATTATATGATTTTTTACATAATTTAGTTAAAATTTGCTAATTATTTCTTAAGATATTTTTAATTTATTGGTTGGTTAATTTTTTTAATTAATTTTTTATTAGTTTGTGATATTGTGTTTCATTTAAGTTAATTACTAGCCTAATTAGTTTAAATTTATTTACTGTAATTGATTTGATTTATGGTTATTTCGAATATGAATTATAGAAGTAATTGTTATAGTTTAATTATTAAAATTGAAAGAAGATAACATGCATAATGATTTAATCGTTTAAAAAAAATAAAAATAAAAATAAAAATGTAATTGGAAAATAAAAATAAATGTTAAAATTTAATAAATTTTTTATTAATTAATATAATTAAATAAACATTTTATTTAGGATTAATTAAATTAAATTTAGTTGAATTTATTATTAAATTAATTAATTTGATAAAAATAAAATTTTTTAACTTTGATATAGATAAAATTTCATGTAATTTAAGTGAAAATGATAAATTTTCACTTAATCCCTTAATTAGGAACCCATTGGGCCCCAAGTTGGTAAAGTTAGGGTTTGATTTCTTTTGCTTGGTAATGAACTATTGGTTAATTAAGAGTTAGTTAAGTATGAATTGATGAATGAAAGTGAAAATTTTCACAAAAATTGAAGAATTTTATCTAAATATCTTAGGCTCACATTCGGCCTAAATTGGGAATAAATTATACTTTACGTATAATTGAATTCTAATTAATAATTCAATTAATTAATTTAGACTTAGAATAATGTAATTATTCTAAAATGAGAAATTACATTGAAATTGAAAAATTAGCTTAAATTACCTAAATTAGAGTTTATGCCTAATAAGACCCAATTTGGAATTTATACATGTAATTGATCAATGAATGCTTAACCGAGTTAGTTTAGGTTTAATTGAATGAAATTATATAAGAAATTGGTGTTGAAATTGAAAGAAATGGCTTGGTTTAGGTTATGATTACTTGTTCGACCTAAGGTAGAAAATGTAAAAAAATAAAATTACACAATAAATTATTGAATATTATAAAATTAAGTATTTAAGAATAAAAAATTAAAAAATATATATAATCATTCTTCAAATAATTATTTAAATATAAAGGCAATTTCTTAAAACAAAATTCATAACTAATTAGAGACAATTACATAACTAATATATATGCTTAATTTTTATTTAAAATTCATAAGAATGATTATAAGTAATTGTTTGCATTGGTTGTGTCATTTTTGCAATAATTACAAAAAAGAGATCTGATCGACAATGGATGATGTTATGCTAGTTAACGGATTGTTAAATGATGACTTTGTCGAGGTGTAGAATAATTTTTAGCTTTTGTTGTTGAGTATCCCGAATATATGAGTGAAACTAAAATTAGGTGTCCTTGTAATTTCGGTAAGTGTCGAAATCAAAATTATGAAGAGGTTGAAACGGTAAAATATCATTTATGTCATAAGGGTTTGTGTCGGGATATTATGATTAGATACATCATGGTGAATTTGAATCCTATATGACATTTGAAAATTCTAGGAGTTAGTATGTTTTTAAAAATTATTATGTAGGCGAAGGTAGTTCTAGTGAACCCCAAAACCCATATCAAACTATGGTAATGATGCGATCGGTCCATCATTTGATCCGTCTAACATGGAGGAGGTTCACATCTTATTTATAAATAAAAATAATAATAAGTTATTAATTTCAATTACCACCATTTTGATATATAAAATTGGTCTCTATATTTTACTCTTTCTTTTTCAATGAGGCTTGACAAGGCTCATTGAGGTGCTTTGGTGTATGGCGATTACGTGACTAATGTCCATTCATGGGACATCTATAACATTCTTTTTCAGAATATTAACTTGATCCATTTTTATTATTTTCTTCTTTTTTTCATAGTTTATCCACTTTTAGTGGAGAGATATATTGTTATGCTTATCACGATTATAATAATAATTATTTCGATCATGTCCATGGCTATAACCATACCTTCGTCCATGACCAAAATTATTATAAGCTGTCTTATGCACTTTAGGGAATGGAGTAGATCTAGTTTGATGGGATTTATTCTTTTTCATTAATAGCTTGTTATTTTATTTAGCGAAGAGCAAGTATGAAATCGATTGAGAATATTTCTTAAACCCTTCTTTTTGATATGCTACTACGGGAGCATATTCGACACATAAAAAACGAGAGAATATTTACTCAGCATCAACCACTCATGATCAATAATTCTTGCCCAAAATGTCAATGGCCACACAATCAAGTTTTGTGAGGTTGATATAATAAAAATTCTATAATGCAAAGTATAATAATAATATTAAGAAATAAAAACAAAATATAATAGTAAAATTTAAATAAAAAAAAACGAATAATAAAATTTAAACTTTTTAAATAATATATATTAGATTATTAGATTTTATATATTAAATCATTTAAGTTTTTCAAATATATATTCTATGTATCATTAGATTTAAAGTACATGATAAATTAGATACTTACCTCTTAATGATTTAAATAATTTAAATTTTTTGGTAGATCACTTGTGTAAAAAAAAAATCCAATGATTGAAACAAATGATTAAGTCTTTTAGTAGATACATACCTCATGATTCATTATCTCGATTGGTTAAAACTTCGTACCGATAACGTGTTATAAAAGAAATGATAACGATAATAGAATTGAAGAAAAAGATGATGAAAAAATGAATTCTTTATAAAATAAAGTGAATACAAGAGATAATAGCTCCAAATAATATCTCAATCTCTATAAAATACTTGTACACAAACTAATGAACAATCAAGCCTATTTATAGGCTTCAAGATTAGGAAGAAAAATTGAAAGGACTATAAACCATTTAAAATATGCATAAATAATTAAATAAATTGCATCAAACTTGTAATTTCTCATATTAAATGGTAAATTGAATCAAATGAGTAGTAAGAATTGAAATGGTTATAGACATTCATTATTTCATAACAAATGCAATTTTTTATGCTAATATTATTGATTATTTTGTTAATAAATATATATAAATTAAACGATTTTGCTCGGTAAATAAATTTGATTTACATTCATTATGAGAGATAAGATTTTTATCCTATTAGAGCATCTCCAATGGTGCTTTCTACTTTTTAGTTAGCATTTTTAATATAAATAGAGAGCATCATTAATTATATAGATTGAAGATCAATGTCCTCTCCAATGCTACTATCTACTTTAACTTTTTATTTTGATAAAATTCATAAAACATTTAATTTTAAAATTTTTCCTCCTCTTTTTTCGTTAATCTCCCTCCATCCGGTTGGTGAAGAGGTTGAGTGGCATAGAAAATAGTATTTTTCATTAATGAAATATAAGATAAAGAGTCATTTGGACTCCGTAGTATTGGAGAGCTAAAGACACTATGTATCTCATTTTTAAAGATAGAGATTGTGATAAAGAAAGCATTGGAGATGAAATTTGGATCAAATCTCTTTATTATAAAAAAATCTTAATATAAAGAGAGCATTAGAGATGCTCTTATACTATATGAATCAAACCTTTTTATTATAAAGAAAAGTCTTAATATAAAGAGAATATTAAAAATACTCTTATACTATATGAATTATTGATCTTATATATATAATGATTGTCCGATCGTAACATAACTTAAATATTTAAATAGTTTAAATTTAAATGATTTGAATTCGAATCTTTTATATATATATATTAGTAACTGTACCGTCTTTTACCTGCGTAAAGCAGTGTGAGAGATTAATCTTATTCTTTGAGTTTGGAATAACGGGAGAATAAGAAAGGGACAAAAAAAAAAAAAAAAAAAACCAGCCTTATCCTTGCAGAGCTACCATCTACATCGATGGGTCTCCTTTCATATAATAATTGTGATGAGCTGTAGATTCGCCACCCTGTCTAGATTTTGTTTTTGTTTTTTTGGACTTCAAGAGTCCGGGTCTATTTCCCATAATTGTGGCGATTGGCATGCCAACTACGGCCATTTATTGCCTCTAAGGGTCACTTATTTCCTATTGTCTTAAAGTGTCTTTTCCTCTAATGATCCGTATCTAGCTTCCAAAGAGTTGCCCTCTATCATATCCAAATAATAATAAATTAATACATAAAAAACCTTCTAATTCCATCAAACTAACCACTAAGTCATGAAAATAACTTCTGAATTTTAAGAGTATTATTTATTTTATAGTCCAATTAAATTAAATCATATATAGTAATTAACAATCGGATATTATTATTGATATGATTTTCATTTCATTTTCGTACAGTGTTCCAAATCATATATAATCTTTCAAAGAAAAAAACCGAACAAACACCTTCTAAAAATGATATCACTCAAGAAAATACATGACACAAACCTACATTAATGGTTTATCTCCATTAATTACAGTTTTCATTCATGTTGCTCCAATAATATTCTGAATCAATTCTCGTTGCCTTCTGGGTCAAACGGTGTCACTCCTACAAATTCTGATGGCATTGACTTCCAATATAGACTTGGTTCCCACTTAGCCTCTTCAAGGACCTTCATAATCTCGTTTGCTACTATTTTGTTTCCTTCGGATGTAAGATGGACTCCATCCCTAAAGAAACATAACCACATTCGGGTGAAAAAGACGAGTTAAACCGGCAAATTGAAAGAAACTTCAAATGGTTTCTTGTGTTTTTTGTTGTACAATAGAGGTTTGAATACAAGATACTTTATATGATGAAGAAGTTGAGTTATGCTTCATCGGCAATGTATGTAAGATTAAGAAAGACCTAGCTAGAAAATATTATAAACGAAAATCTCAAATTAGTCCTAAAACTATGATCATAATCTCAGTTAAGTCTCTAAACAATTCTTTTCTCCATTGATCAGTTGGTCCTTCAAGGGTTGAAAAATCTTCTATACTCGTCATTGGATTTCATTAAAGTACATACATCTTATACATCAATAAAAAGCAACATAGTCTATAAGAGAGTTCAAAAAAATTTAAGATGCTTTTAAATAAATAGGACTTGGTTGAAAGTTTTTGTACCTTTGAGAATCCAGCTTTCCCTTTTTTTTTTCTCTCTTTTTTTTTCTTTCTCGAAACCCAATTAAGAATCATTAATGTGCGTATAGTTTGAATCTGATTTGAGATTTGTTACCAAAAAAAAAAAAGTATTGTTCAAACTAACTTCTCTTGGTCTTTAGGTTGAAGTTGTAATAGCTAGGTGAAAAGCAAAATTAACTTACGTTAAGCAAGTAGTTAACCAATCCTCCTTTTGCTGTATTGCATTGAAAAGGTCAATGGCTTTCACCTCCAAATCCCTGCACACCTCTAAACAAGCTTCTGAATATATTCTGCAGCCCTCCATTGTGCGACCGCTCCCTTCACTTGTTTCAGAAATTAAGTAATATTTGTCTATCTTAATTTTTCTTTGTGATGAATAATCAATATCATATATATTTATTTCATAAAAAAAAAGGATATTTGATAGACATATTCTAAATAGAGTAAACTATTATTTATTCCTTGTGTTTTTGAAAAATAATTAGTTAATCTTTTAGTTAAAAAAAAAAAATCCAATTTTGAATTTCTACATATTTATTTTTGTTTGTAACTTATTCATCTACATGTTAGATTTTCCCGACAATAATTTTCTTTTTCCCTGAAAATATACTTCATTTTTGTCGAAATTTTCAAGCTCATCTACTATCAACAAAACTAAAAAAGAATTAATAGTTAACTCTAATCAAGTGACCAACTTATGATTTTTAAAACTAGAAAAGTAATATACAAAATCATAAAACAGGGATTAAATTATAATTATTCTTCTAAATTATACATATTTAGAAAATGCTAATCAAATCGACTGTATAGTTTTATAGTGGTGTCAAAAATGGATATACTGGAAGTTAGGACTGGACAACTATAATACAAAATCAAGGTTAAAACTTACATCAATTTCTCATCTACAGGAGGAACACCCAGAAAGATGAGGCGAGTCTTCTCAGAAAGGCTCTGGCAATCGAATAAGAAATATACTAATTAAATTAATTAATCATAATTAATCCACTCGTATAGAAATGAAGCATAGATAGGAAGATTACCTTCAGATGTTCAGCAATCTTCTTCATGTTTTGTTTGTACTCATCAAGAGGTACGTAAGGACTGAAGCCAATACTATTTCCAGGGTTCATTGAATCATTACCTCCAAAATAAACTATAACCAATGAAGGTTGTACGGCAGCATCCTTGTAAAAAAATAAGTAGCTTTTAATTTGATTTTCTTTATATAGCTTTTGGGTTTTCTTGCTTTTTTTTTCTTTTTTTTTTTTTAAGAAAAGGGGAAAAAAATTCTAAAAGCTGTTTTAAAAGTCATTTAGAAGCTAAAAATCATAACCTACAAAATAGAAGCTTTTGTGCTTTTGAGAGTTTGTTTGGAAAAATTGTGGTTTTGTGGTTGTAGTTGTAGTTGTGAGTATATAGATATATATATACTGTTAAAATGCTTATGTTATATAAGATTCAAAAGCCAAAAAATTTGTAGGCTCTGTTTGTTTGCTGGAAATTAAGATTTTTCTTTTTTTTTTGGGAAATGATTTATGAGAAAATAGATTTTTATATATATATAATTGGTTGTATCATAGAAAATGAATCGGAAACTATTTTCCAACGTTTGGCCATATCATAGAAAATAAATTAAAAAATAATACATTTTGAATTATAAACTTTTTAAAATAGTAGAATTTTTGTTACTATCAAACATATATATATATATATTATCTTTGATGAACATTGGAAATAAATCTCTTTTCTATGGCATCCTATTTTTATAATACAATTTATATGATTTAAAATGTATGATTGTTGTATAATATAACATGGGTATTATATTTAATGAATTTTCTAACGATATCATTTTTTAAATAATATTTACTAATATAATCATAGATATTATATATTGATAATATCCTAATTAATGTTTTATTTCTTATATCAATATATTTATTATTTTTTAATAATATTACATATTTTAAAGTATTTTAGTAATATACTAATGTTTATACACAAGAATAATGAAGTGTTGTACAATTTTAGTTTTTGAGTCCTTCATGAAAAGCGTTTTTTGCCTTTTTAAACTGGAAATCACTTTCCTCTAGGAAAATGTAATCAAACATGAGAGAATTATTAATTTTTCATCTCATTGGAAAGTGAATTCGATGACCAGTTTTCCGAAATGCAATCAAACATAAGAAAATTAGGAAAATATTTTTCAGAAAAACACTTTTCAACCAACGAAACTTGAGAATTTTACCAACGACTTTTTTCAGTAACTTTTGGAGAAAAAGTTCACAAAGTTTTTCTTTTAAAAAAAAAAAAAATGAAGCCAAAAGCCTTGGTTTCCAAACGAACACTAAATCTTATATAAAATAAAAATATTTTAACAATATTACATGTTACCAAACAATTTTTTTACAAACACGACCAAAAACCCAACAAAAACCACGTCAAAAACTACAACTTTCGCAAACAGACCCATACTAGACTAAGGAGAGGAAATATCTGAAAAAGTCTAACCTGTCTTTAAGGATTCAAATGGGACAAGAAGGGAGAAAAAAGTTATAATTAAGAATATTCAGCCATATGATTGGTGGATCACTATCAGGGAGAGAAAAGTCCATGCATGTTTTAACAACAAAAGCTAAAATACCTCTGGTTATGAAAAAAAAAAAATTCTTTGGAAGCACTTTTATAAAAGAGAGAGCTTTTATCGAAACAAGAAATAAAAGAAGACGAAAATACCTTAGGGAAAACTTCATCAAGAATGGTCAAAGCATTTCTTGAATTCCAACCTGTATATCCTCTTAGAAATATATCTGCCTGTGTCAATTGCAAATCATTATCAGTTCACTCATATATATATATATATATATATAAACAAACAATTAATGGAACATTATTTGAGATCGAACTGCACAAGTAAAACATTTGCATAAATGCTTCTTTGTTATAGAATCAACTATTCTTTATTCTTGCCTGCAGGTTTTCTAGCTAGGGTTCTACAGGAACTCTTCCTGATTTGATATTGATCCATGAAATTCAGTTTACTTATACGAAGAAAAGAAAAACATTAATAATATTGGTCTGTACGTGTGCTATTTTTCAAAAACAATATAGCAGCCAGCAACGTATCCTACAATAAAGAATGGTTACCTATCGATTACTGAAATCTATAGATGATCAAATTTGTAAGAAAGAGAGAAGAAATACCTTACGAGCGTATTTGTCAGCAAGAATAGCACCAAATCCTAGATTCCCTTCGTGGCTTAAACTGTACTGAACAATGGACGACCCAAACAGCACAAATTCTGGTCTTCCCGGTCCAACCATCTTCCTCTGCTTCTGTGCTCTTGATTTTTAACTTCAACCTATGACCAAAAGCACAACACAAGCTGAATGACTCTGACTCTGGTTTCTGGGCCTTCGTATTTATACACAAATATGGCTGGCTAGTTAACTAGATTTCTGTGCCGTTGCTGCGAGCATACATATCCATGGTGCCATGGGCACATGGAAGGCACTTTAGGCACATGGAAGGCACTTTTAGGGCACATGCAGCCACATGCGGGGCACAATAAATTATATGGTATTGAGCTCTTTGATGTATTAGATTAGTTTAATCATAGACCTTCAAATTAGACAAAGGAAAAAGACTTTATTAGGTGATTCTCATTTTCTATTGCCTATAACTAAATTTACTTCCTTTTATATTTCAAATTTAACCTTTTTTTAAAATTAACTAAATTTATTTCTTTTTATATAACATTACTGTATATCTTATAAATATAAAATCTCTCTCTCGTCTCCTACATTAGGAAAAAAATAAAAAAAATAAAAATAATCACTCCCTTGAATATTCTGATATGTAAATTCTCACATCGCTTTTATAGATAAATCATTAAAATTAGGATCAAAGAATAAAAAACAAGTAATACACCAAAGTAAATCTTTCTTTTTCTTTTTTTTCATAATAAAGATATATCGAGTCAGCTTGTTCACCAACTAAGACTAAGTTATTTTTCGAACAATTTTAAGGATACAGACCCCGCATCAGCATGTTGTATTTAAAGAAAAATTAATAAATTCTCCCACGTACTAAGTTAAGAAAGGAAACGAGCCTTTTTAACCATTAATAAAAAATTGTTATACTTTCATACAAACCTAAAATTTCATATGATTAAGACAGAACCTAGAAATTAATATGATCAAAACAATGAAATTAATGCATGTCTTATAAAGAAAAAATCCCTCTTTTATATACCATCAAAATTAATGCATATCTTATAAAGATAATATCCCTCTCTCCTCTCTTGCAATAGAGGAAAAAAAAAAAAACTAATATATCTCTTCCTCTTCCAATATGCTAATTTAAATATTTTTTTTTAAAGATAAAACATTAAACTTAGGATCATGTTATGGAAAATAAAAATCAAAGTAAAATTATAGGATACATTTTAATTTGCTTCCTTGAGGTTTATGTGTTTACTTAATTTCACTTAAATTTTTTATTTATTTCAATTAGACTCCACATCTTTTATTTTTGTTTCAACCAACCCCCATCGGTTTTATTTATGTTCCATTCAGCCGCACATATTTCACTTTTGCTCTAATTTCTCTCTCGATCTATTTTTGTTAGGTGCATAAATTTCATATTCACCCCTGAAATTTATAAAATATCTCAATATCATCTAAAAAGTATGTGTGTGTGTGTGTATAATAAATACGATAAAACTTGAGAGGGTTAGTTTCTCAAGGAATTTTCAAATCCTACCAACTTCAATTCTCACTTAGTAACATCATTTTTTTTATTTATCAATATTATATTTAAATGAAAATTAATATTCAAAATACTTTAACTCTTTCTTTTCATTTATTTTTCCATCAAAACCTTCACCATTGTGATCCCTAACGTGTCCTCTTCTTTATTTGATGTTGTCATCAAATATCACATTTGACATGTGCAAATAATCTCTTTAGGTTGAAAGATGGTGTAAAATTTCAAAAGCTTACTTTGTATTACTATCAAACTCTACTTATAGAGTTATATGCAAAGAATACGAAATGTTAAATTCTATTTAAATTATAAAATTTTGCTAAATATTAGCTATTGTATTTGAATTACAAAAGTTGCTAGATATGAGCTATTTAAATGTATTTGAATTGTAGGTCAAATTCATACTTATCATCCTCCTTCAAGTTGGACAATAGGTTTCAATGTTAGTTTGTCCTTAAGTAAAAGAAATTTTCATTTTGAAATTGCTTTAGTAAGGACATCAACAATCTTATATACCTTGTCTCTAATGAAGTGGAAATCAATCTCAAGATATTTGGATCTTGCATGAAAGGCTAGATTTGCCGCCAAATATGTAGCATAAATATTGTCACACCAAATGGTCGAGGTTTGTTGCTTAGGTAAGCTTATTTCTTTCATCGGTGACATCAACCAAATAACTTCAAAAGTAGGTGCGGCTAGTGCACGGTATTCGCATTCGTGGAGGATCGTGCAACGGTTTTCTCCTTGTGAGAACACTAAGATATTAAATTAAGACCCATAAACACATCATAACCAATTATGCTTTTACGACCTTCCACATTGCCACCCCAATCGACATCGGTATAGGCAAACAATTGTCCAATTGAGTGTGAAGTGAAGTGAAGTTCATGAGAAATGGTGCTCCTAAGATAACAAAGTATTCACTTTACTACGGCCTAATGGTTTATAGTTGGAGAGTGCATAAATTATACCACTTTGTTAACAACAAAAGATATATTTGGATGAGTCGAGGCAAGATATTGAAGCCCTTCTACTATCTTTGTAAAACAAGTTTGGATTGTCAAACGTATTTCCAGCTAGAAATAGCCTTATGGAAGAGCAAGCCAAAGTTGATACCATGCTTACTTCAAGCATATTTTCCTTATAGAGGATAACTCTAATATATTTAGATTGAGTTAGGTATAGTCCTCCCTTTTTTCAATGGGCTTCGATGCCAAGAAAGTAATGTAGCTTCGCCTAAATTTTTAATTGTAAACTTATGTTATAGTTGAGTCTTTATTTGTGCAATCAAAGAGGTGGTGTTTCTTGTGATCACAATGTTATTGACATATATAAGGTAATATAAGACTCGGTTTATTTTGTGTAAATAAATAGTGATGTATCCGATTGTGAACCTCTAAAACTCAATATAACGAGTGCATCCGTAAAGCAATGATACTGAGCCCGAGGTACTTATTTGAGTTTGTATAAGGACTTTTTAATTCACACACATAATCGAAAGGTAGTGATCAATAAAACCTTACGGTTGCTCTATATAAACAGAGCTCTTCAAGAGTGCCATGGAGGCGTGCATTAGAAATATCAATTTGATAGACCAACCATCTTTTAGTCATGATTAAAGAGAGAATAAGTCGTAGCGTGGTTGGTTTGAACATCAAACTAAATGTGCTTGTATAATCAATCCCTAGTTGTTGATGAAAGCCTTTGGCAACTAGCGGGGCTTTTAGTCGATCAATTTTCAAAGCTAGTTTCTTTTTGATCTTGTACACTTATTTGTTTCCTATTATATTTTGAGCCTTGTTCCTTTGAATCAGAATCCATGTATTATTATACAAGATAGAGCTTTAATTTTGGTAGCCATAGCTTGACGACATTCGAGACTTTTGTTTGCTATAGTGAAACTAGTGGGCTCAAACATAACATTTGAGTGGAAATTTTTGGGTTTATTATGTCCAATTTTGGACCTTGTTTGCATAGGATGTGTTGCTAGATGAGACTATGAGTGTGGTTGGACATTATAAAGCCATAAGTCCACCTCAAGTGAAATTAGAGCAAGTAGGGACAAATGTTGATCTTGGGTTACAAGTGATGGAAATAAAGTCATGTGTGGTGAGACATCAAACACATGAGAATCAAACATGGGTGGAAGAATATACTAGGCGGATGATGAGGATTTATGTGTCATCGTGGCTATTTGACGTCCGATAAATAATGTATAAGAAGGGTTAGTGTCATACACATTGTCATTGGGCACACACGATCGTGTAGGCGAAGTTATCGTGGGACTAAAGGGAAGTGTGAGGGAATGTGTTAGGTAGGCGATGAAGATTTATATGACATTGTGGTTGTTTGATGTTCATCAATCTGGTGTATGAGAAGACAAATGTCAAACATGTTATCATTGGGCACACATGGTTGTGTAAACTGAATTTGTTACGAGACTAAAGGGAAATAAGTTGTTGGATTTTGGTGTAATTGGGGTCCGGTGATGTGTAGGTTAGGTGTGGTATGGTGTGTGATACTTGGAATTTGGTATGTGTTTAGGAGTAGAGGTCATTTATGGGAGAAACAAAGTTGTCGGTTTTACGGTTGAAGGAGCCACATAAGCTGCATAATTTATTATTTGACATGGAAAAATCTGTTCATCGAATATAACATGATGTGAGATAATTTTTTTATGAGTAACTAAATTAAAACATTTGTAACCTTTAAGAAAATTACTATGCTTAAGAAAAACACGTAACATATTATAATCATGGATATCATAAACAACTAAAAACACGTAACATATTATAATCTGGTTTTTGATTCAATAACACTTCGAATGGACTTTGGTGATTTAGATGGGGTATAAGGAGTCCGTTGATGGAGTAAATGACCATGGTAAAGGCATGGTCCTAAAATTTTAGAGGTAAAGAGGCATGGTAAAGGAGGACATAACTAGTTTTAGTGATGCGACGTTGTTTGTGTCCGCGTAACCTTTTTGTTCGGGTATTTTAGGAAATGAGTTACATTATTGAATTCCATTTTCACTAAGAAAATTTTTTAGTCCTTGGAACTCCATATCCCAATCTATTTTTAAGGACTTAATAAATCCGATTTATACTTGAGAAAGTAAGTCTAATAGTATTTCCTATAATGACCAAAAAATAAAATGTAATAATAATGACAACGTAAGGATGCAATCGAGAAAGGTCCCCATAAATCATAACATATCAAATCTAAAGGGCTAGAGTCTTGATAAGAAAATTCAAGAAAATGTAATTTACAAGTTACTAACACTGCAAGCATTATAAAGACTTTAACAAGTTTTAATTGACACATGAATGGATGAATGACTAGGAGTTTTTTGCACTATTTTTATTAAAGCAAGCCCAAGACAAGCAAGCCAAGTTAAAAGAGAGCCTAAATAAACTTGAGGACAACTAGGAGAATTCTATAGATTTAGATAATAAAGACCATTGCTAATGTCTCGATGTGCAAAACTTGCGTTGTTTAAAAGTTGTAATTATACGAATAGATAATGAATTACTACAAGCATTTGGAATAAGAAGAATTTCATCAAGAGAATTTTTTATTGTTAAGATAAAAAAAATGAAGAGCTAGTCTAAGAGATTGAAATGCTTTGACCATTGCTAATTGTAATTTGTTCGGGAGCGAGTGTATTTGGAGTGGATGCCTAGATTATCCATGTCAACGATCAAATGATGTATGACTCCTGTGTCAACAAACCAAGATTGTGATTGAGTGGGCCTAGAGTGGACAAAGTCCATGTGGCTTTCGAGCTTAGGAGTACGAGATTGAGACCCTCCAGATTGACGACGGGAAAGGCATTATCGGATGTGATGGCTGGTCCTTTTGCAATTATAAGAGACAATGATTATAGGAGTAAAATGAGAAGGATATGAGCGTGGGTGGTAAGTGGATGAGCCACCACGCCACTTATCGCGAGACTTGCCTCGACCATGTGCTTGAAGTGTAATTGTGAGTTGAAAATTACATTATTTGGACAATGTCGGTGATGTTTTCATGCCTAGTCAATTAGAGCTCCTCACTCGATAAAAAAAGCATATAAGTTTTCAAATGACACAAGCATAAGATGAGCTTCAATTCCACGAACAAAGGGCACAGTAAGAGGGACCTATGCCACATAGGTATAGTCCACCAAATCATCTTTAGTGATCGAGTGGTTTTAGGTAGTAAGCCTATTTGAAATATCCTTAGCACGATTTATATAGATGGGAATGTGATTATTTTTCCGGGTTACCCAATCAACCCACGGCGTATTTAAGTACGGGAACTAGAGGCATATATCGTGGCCAACTTCTACCATGCTTTAAGTGTTATTGTGACATATAAGACTTGTGAAATGAGTGCGGTTGTAAAAGAGCTAACAATCCAACTCAACACATTTTGATCATCCGCATACCATTTGAAATAGGTAGAATAGGGATTAGTGTGTGCCGCATCAAGAAATTTAGTAGGTGTAATAGTATCGCCATCGGTGTGACTAACAAGTTTGTATCGTTGCGGTAATGGAAGGATTTGTGTTTTCCATAGCGAGATAGTTGGTTGAATTTAGTTTTAAGGTAAGTTAATGAGTAATGTTGGGATAGGTTATAGGGACTTTTGTGTGTGGAAGAGCAATCTAATTTTGTGAGGGATTGACCATGATAAGGAAATTAACATATGAAAAAAAATTAAGAGTTGGGTGTTTAAACATCATAAGGCTTTAATACTATGAAAGATGCTATAAAGTTTGAAAAACTTAATTTGTATTACTATCAAACTCTATTTATAAAGTTATGTACAAAGAGTATAGGAAATGTTAAACTTTATTTAAATTACAAAAGTGTGCTAAACATTAGCTACTGTATTTTAATAACAAAAGTAGCTAGATATTAGTTATTCAAATGTATTTGAATTGCATTTCAAATTCATGCTTATTATAGCTATTGTTAAAATTTTCTTATACTTAAATTATCATTCCATTTATATGGGATTTTTTTTTCTTTAGAATTATGGTTTAATATTTTAATGAAAAATTAGATTAAAAAAATATAGATATGATATACTAGTAAGATAGTGTATGAAAGACATCGGCGAGTCATTGTTAATACTTTGTATTAAAAAGTTGCTTAATTTTATTTTTGTGTTGTCAAATGACTATTAGATAGTGTGATGAAATAACTATTGAAAAATATCTTTCTTTAATGCTTTTTCTAATTTTAATGTTTTCATTCATGCCTTTTTGAATTATATCGAGATATTTCATAAACTTCGAGAGATAAAATTGAGATCTACACATAGTGGAACAAAATTAAAAGATTCTAGGTCTAATTGTAACAAATCAAAGATTTTAGATGAAATTGAAAAAAGAAATAAATTTTAGGGGAGACAAAATAAAATTTACCTTTAATTATAAGTTGTTATACTTTCATACAAATCTAGAATATCATTTGATCAAGATAAAATAACAATAATAATAGAAAGCATCGTGGAACCGTTTTGAACCATTAATTTCAACAATGTCCTTAATTTTTTTATTGATAAATTTTGAAGAATGTGGTTAGTTATTATTTTTCATGAAACTAAAAAAGTTAAGCAACGAATTTTTTATTTTTGGTTAAAAAATAATAGTTTGTCAATATAAATTTTGATTGAATGACTTTAATATCCATAATAACTTCGATTTAAAATTAAGAAAAGTTTTAAATGTAAAAGAAATGTTAAATGATTAGATTAGGTAATTTGATTACTTTAAAGTTAATAAATATATAATATATAATCTTCCATACTTTGAATATACTTTATAGAAAAGAAACCTTTTACGAAAAGTAAAATCTAATACACGAAATAGTTTGATATATAGACGGCATCATTGTGGTAACAGCCGTAACGTCATAGAAATCATTGTTGCAAGGCGATACCATAGAAAAACTTCAAGAATAACCAAAGTATTCCTTAAATTCAACCTGTATATCCTCGTAGCGTCAATTGCAAATGGCTGTGGTGCCTACTGGTAAAACAAGACGTGCTCTTGTTGACAGACAACGATTGTCAGGGACGGCGGCGCGTCAGCATAGGCTGAGGGAGGCCGTGATCCCAAAATTTTGAAAAAAATCACTTTATTCTCTAAATTTTTGGCATGTTTTCATATCAGACTCTTAAAAATTATTATCAGGCTCCTCAAAATTTCATTTTCATAACATTTCTGAAGCCGTACAGTATTTTTAACTTGACCCCCCCAGTGATTTAATTCACTCTCTGCCGAGTGTGGTGGTGGGTGCTAGTGAAGTCTCTGGATATAGTTTTATTACATTTCCTCAAACAATTTTTGGAGAGGGAGGGAGGGAGAGATAATGGCTGACAAAGACGGTGTTAAATTCGAAAGGGCCAAAAAAAAAAAAAAAAAAAAAGCAATGGCGCAACATTCAGAATTTTTAACTCTTAAAAAAAAAAAAGTCCATTTTTTAATATATATATAATACTAGCCTATTCAAAACCTCTAAGTGGTGTACTTTTCAAAAATATTCATGATTAAAGTCCGTTTCGTAAAAGATTGTTCAAATACAAGTATAAAAAAGAGTATTTTAGAAAATTATGAATAAAAAAATTATGATATAATATAATAATTAATAATTTTGTTAATATATATGTAAGAAGTCAAAAATATAATCTTTTGAGACACAGAGAGTATACTTTTTAAAGAGGTCATAAGTATCAAAATATGTATTAAAAATAAAATTATTTGGTTAATTTTTTTTATAGTAGTTAAAATATTATTTTGAATAGTGCCAATGTCAAAAATATCAAAGCCAAGATTTTTTTTTTTTTTTTTGATAAAGTTCAACAATCGGTATCCATAAAATTCATGTTAGTTTTTTTCCTTTGAAAATATTATTTCATTAATATCCATAAAAGCATAAATACAATACTATTTTCATGCAGGATTACGTTGGAAATAACATTAATGATAGTAACTGAATTGATACGTTTGAAGTAAATCTTGACAATAGCAAGAGATTTCGAGTAGCAAATAGCCTTTTCATCAATCTAGATGATTTAAACAAAAAACAAAACTCTTTAAACTTCCCAAATACTACTTTTGCAAAAACATGTAGCAACATATATTTTCAAATGAGTTGATATTACCATGAAACAATAGAAGAACATAATGTATGTGTTACCAAACTCTATCAGTGAAGGTTCGTTTCCACCAAATTTCATCAAAACAGTTAGAATCAAACGCCAAACCTTTATTAAAAAGAAAATAAACCCCAACAAGCAAGGAATCAAAACCTCAATAAGATGGAAAACCAAATAGCGATTTAGATATAGATGGTCCAAATCCAAACATATATATATATATATATATATATATATATATATATATATATATATATATATATATATATATAAGCCGAGATCCCGAGGATCTAGATCTATTTTATTCAAAATAGAAAGACACAAAAGATCCAGATTTAAGAAAAAAAAATAAAGAAATGGAGGATGAGGAAGGGAGGGAGGGGAAGAAAAAGAAAAAAAAAAAAAAGCGAGGGTTTGGAGTGATCACTAGCTAAAAAAATGGCTAGTGGCGGGCCCGCAGCCTCGAAGGAGAAAAAAAAGAAAGAAAGAAAGAAAGAAAAGAACGGGGTTTTTGGGATTTTAAAGAGAATTCATGTTACTTTGGCTACATTATAATATGTAAATTCTATGAAGAAATTTTTATTTTTTCAATTATGAGAACAAATAAAAAATTATTAATGAAGTTCTATGATTTTTAATTATGAGAAGAAATAAAAGTTTGTTAATAAAAGTCCATAAATTATAAGGTACAACCACAAAAACATTCATTAATATATCTATCTATTTTTATATATTAAGTGTACTCTACTATATATTTTTACAAAAAGTTTCACTTTCACATGTCCATGTAAATTAATATTTATTTAATGAGAGAAAGGCTTTTTTGGTGCTCAACCTTTGATTTTTTTTTTTTTTTGTGGGTATCCAACTATTTTTTCTCATGATTTGCTATCCGATTTTTTATTTTTTGTTTGTTTTAGTGCTCGAGTTTATTTAAGATTCAATTTTGTTGAAGTTTCTAGCCAAAACTGTCATACGACGAGTCAAAATATGTCATATGATAATCAATTCTATCACGTGGTAATCAAATCTAAATACGTCGACGATCCATACTCTCGAGTGACTTTTAGACACTCAAATAGAAAAAAAAATTCAAAAATTAGGCATTGAAACAAAAAAAAAAAAAAATTAAGTTGGGCACTTAAACATAAAAAAAAAAAAATGGTTGAACATAAAAATATAGTTTTCTCAAGAAATTTATTTCATTTTTCTCACATTTAAATATCTATCCCCTTCTTGTACTCTAATATATCATTTCTTTATTAGAAATAAATTTTATACATTTCTTGTGTTTCCATAATGAATGTCCATCATCATATTCATTTACTTTTTAAATCCCCACTACTCATGATTCTTAATATGATTCAATTCATCATTCAATATGAGAAATTGAAGGGGTGATCAATTGATTATTCATAGTCCCTTCTAATTCTCTTCTCAAATTTGAAGCCTATAAATAGGCTTGATTGTTCATTATTTGGTATATAAATATTTTGTAGAGATTGTGATAATTGTTTAGAGTTGTTAACTCTTATATTCTCTTTATAATGAAATCATTTCTTCATTGTTTTTGGCTTCAATTCTCCTATTATTTCTATTTCTTTTATAATACGTTATCGACACGAAACTCGACCAATCGAGATAGTAGACTATAAGGTATGTATCGACCAAAAGACTTAATCAATTATTTCAACTATTGGATTTCTTCTACACAAGTGCTTTACCAAAAGATCTAAATTATTTAGATCATTAAAAGGCATTTATCTAATTTATCCTGTACTTTAAATATAATGATACATAGAATATACATTTGAAAAACTTAAATGATTTAATATATAGAATCTAATGATCTAATATATGTTGTTTGAAAAGCTTTAATTTTATTATTATGTTTGTTCTCATTTTCTAATATTATTATTATATATTACATTATAGAATTTTTATCATATCAAACCTCATAAACTCGATTTTGTGGCTCTTGATATTTCGAATAAGAATTATTGATTATGAGAGCTTGATTCTGAAAAAAATATTCTCTACTTTTTATGTCTTGAATATGCTCTCGCATTAGCAATATCGAGAGAATGAAGAAATATTCTGAAACGATTTCATATTTGCTCATGGCTAAATAAAAAGACAAGTTATTAATGGAAAGGAATAAATTTCATCCAACTGAATTTACTCCATTCCCCGAAGTGAATGTGACAACTTATAATAATTTTAGACATGGATAAAGATGTGGTCATAGCCATGGAAGTAATTAAAATAATTATCATTATAATTGTGATGACCATAATATTACATTTCACCACTAGAAATGGATAACTATGAAAAAAAGAATAAAAATAGATAAAGTTAGTATTCTTAAAAATAAATATTATAGATGTGGAATGAATGAATATTGATCATGTACACGCCAAACACTAAAGCATTTCATTGAGCCTTGTCAAGCGTTATTGAAAAATAAAAAGTAAAATATGAAGGCCACTTTTATAGATCAAAATAATAGTAATTGAAATTAATTACTTGTTAGTTTTTCTATTTATAAATAAATTTTTTAATATTTTTTCTAATTATCGTATAGTGATGGTTACAAATTTATTTTACTATTTATTTATTTGTTTGTGTTTATGAGGAATATATTTATTTATTTATTTTGTATTGATTTATTTGATTATTTATTTTATCTTAATATTATATATGATAATATCAATTTAATAGAAAGTCTGTAGAAGAGCAACTATATTATTATCTAAAGATATAAATGTTTAAGGCTCTAGAAGAGCGATTATATTATTACCTAAAGAGATAAATTTTTGAAACTCTAGAAGAGTGAATATATTATTACTTGGAAGAGAAAACTTTTAAAGGTTCTAGAAGAATCAATATATTATTACTTGAAGTGACATAATTTAAAGGCTCAAGAAGAGCAAATATATTATTATCCGAAAGGATAAATTAATTATAAATGATGTACTATTCTCTTCAAAGTCTCATAGAAATTTATTGAGTTTCAAAGATATTAATCTAAATTGATATCATATCAAGATAGCAAATTTGAATATTTATATATTATAATTATTATATTAGGTAGAAAATATGTATTAAAAAATTTACCCGCTTTCTCGTTTAGTCTCTTTTACAAATATCAAAATGATTGAAACAAATATTATAGTAAACTAGAAGTTTACTAATTTAAATACTTTTATTATGTGGCATGACTAGTTATGTTATCTTGGGTCTCTCATGATGCAAAAAATTATTAAAAATTCATATGGACATCTATCGAAGAGCTAGGAGATTCTTCAAATTAATGAATTTTCTTGTTCCGTATATTGTCAAGGCAACTTGATGATTAAGCCATCACCAAGTAAAATTGAGATTGAATCTTCAGTATTTTTATAATGTATTCAAGGTAATATATGTGGATTAATTCATCCACCATTTGGACCATTTAAATATTTTATGATGTTGATAAATGCTTCTACAAGATGATCACATATATGTATATTATCTACTCAAAACCCGACGTTTTTGAGATTACTAGCAAATAATTTGATTTCAAGCATAATTTTTAAATTATGCTATTAAAACAAGTTACCTTGATAATGTTAGTGGATCTATTTATCAAGAATTAAATTATTATTGATTGACCATTAGAATAAAGACTCGAACATCTTATTGTTTATGTTCATACTTTGAAAGGTTTAGTAAAATCATTTATTAAAGAGCTCCAATTTATAGCTAAACCATTATTTAAAAAACAAAACTCCTTGTTCATGTTAGGGGATATGCAATCTTACATGCAACAATACTTATTCACATTAGACCCATAAGTCATTAAAAATTCTTTCCTTTTTAATTGGTTTATGGTCGGGAGCCAAATATTTCTTATTTAAGAATTTTTTTAGCATTATGGTATATATCCGCAATGCTCCTCCATAATGAAC